CCGCAGCGAGACAGCCATTTCACGGTGCCGCTGGAGCAGGTCCGTCCCTGGTACGAGGCAATGGCCCTGTTCGTTCGCCTGGCCCATGAAGAGGCATGCAGTTTCAAGACCACACCCGGCGATGTGCTCACATTCAACAACCTGCGCTTGGTCCACGGTCGCACGGGGTACGACGACACGGACCGCAATGTGCGGCACATCGTTGGCGCCTTCATCGACTGGGACATTGTCTACTCACGCCTGCGTGTCCTCAGGAATTCCAAGAGCAACTCTTGAGTAAACCCGTTGAGTGGCCTCAATCGCCGAGCACAAATTCTAAGTTCAATTTAATCAAGACTCCGTCAACGACATGTCTCTGCCAGTCAATAAACATTATTTTATTACTTTGTAATTTTCAATATATATTTTATATAAACGCTATCTCAATGGGAATTGATCTTTGGAACATTGGGAAACTTAATTGATGTGATCCAATTAGCCAAAGTTGAGGCTTGAGCTCTTACCCTACAGCATCAGCATGCGAGTTCATTTCAAACTAATCTGTTTAATGTACGCATCTGGTTGATTAGTTCCCCAGTGAAATCTGGCTACCCTGAAGGCACGTTCCGGGGGATATTAGTATTAGCCAATAGGCTATTGGGTTTTGGGTTCGGCTTAGGTCTAAAAATATACAAAAAGCTTTATATTTTTAGCAATACTTTTCATCGTCATCACTTGAGGAAAGTCAACTTATTTTGTTGGGAATAAGAATCAAATAAGATGCAATTTCTGTCTTTAATGAAGTATACCTAATAACACGAGGGCTGCGGTTCCTATTCGTAGAATAATAGTAAAGGACTAACAAGAAAACATTGCAACAGAGGTGCATCGCAGTACTTTTGGCACTTGGAAAAAATTATCTCTAAAACAAAAAGCTTTTTGTGCATGGGCTATTCAAATTGTTCAATTTGTTTAATTTATTTAGATGACTGAAGGGAAATATTCCCTTTCAATTTCCATTTCCATTCCATTTCCATTTCAGACTTAAGAGCAAAGGGGTATTGTACGGGTCCATTCAAATGATACGCACAAGGTCAGCTACAACGTTTTAAACAGCCGACATAAAGTGAAAGTAAAGCACACGTCATTGTTTACGCCGGACAACAAATTAGCTTATCGGAGACCGGCTGAGTCAGATGACAACGCGGTGCTACTATTACGAGCATTCTGAGCATACTCTTGCATGTGTGATTAGCCGGTTATCAATTTATGGCATTGTCGAAATAAGCATTGACTTGGCTGAGCTCTTGGATCTTTTGTGTGTAAATCACACTCGTACGCAGCCCAGAGACAACCCTCGGATGTGGCTAACATTTTCACGGGCCAGGAAGCAACATTTGCTGGAGGGTTTGGTTTGCTTTGGTTTTGGTTTGTCTTGGATTGGGTGCGATGTGGTGTGGTGTAGTTGCACGCAGGCAAATCCTTTCGAAATCTTTTTATTTATGTCAATGGTTCCACCAAAAATACACAGCCAGACACACACGGCTCCTGTTGGCATCCAGCAGCCACAGTGTGGCATCCGGAATGCGGAATCCGACTTGGAGCACATGAATTTGTACATGGCAGCAAGTAAATCCCTCTAATAATCCACGTAATAAGCACTGGAGGTGGCGGTGGCAGCAACAGGCCGAAAGGGTTGCTTGTGGGGTGGCTGTTGCCAGGGCTCTTGTTTATAAGTTCATAAAAGCCAACGAGCCGGGAAAGGTGCGGCAGTGCTGGCCACATAAAAAGCGGTAGCAAATGCAAAGGGCGAACGAAATAGCCAAAGGGAAACCCGAAAGGAAAAAACCAGTCGCAAATCCAATTTCCACTGGCTCCTCAGCAGTCGCTGTGTGTGTGGGAGGGAAATTTTACTGCAGTTTTGGGTAGACCATGCAACAGTCATAATGTGTAATTGAAAACCTGGACTGAATCGCACCCTTGGGTGATGTATACGCGCTGCTCCCCACTTTGGTGGCACTCCTTCTTCACTTGGTCACCCCCTAATTGGCAGGCTGGTCGGGTCAGCCAGTATCGTTGTATGATAGACAAAAATTGTATGATAGACACGAGTATAGCCATCCGTATGTAAAGATGCCGCCACCAGAAAGAGGGAACCCCACAAGCAGGAGGAAGGCAGAGAAAAAGACAGTCGCAGCACTTGCACAATTGCGAAACTAATACGCTTACATACAATTTCCACAATTTCCACACTCTTGGCTGTGGCTGTGACCGTGGCGGTGCTTGTGGCTGTATCTTCCTTCCATTTCCCATTCCCCTTCGCATCTCCATCCATCTCGAGGGCCTGGATTTTAGCCACGACAATGCCCCGAGTTTGGCTGTCTCGATGATAAACATGCGGCAATTGACGCAATCATTGTCTGTCCATGAATTGAATTAAATCAACTCAAGTGCGACACTAGAAGGAGCGCGTGGTGGGTCGTCTTGTTATGCTGACACTCAGAAAAGAGATGGCCGCAATCACAATCCTTTCCCTTCGATGCATACGTATACGTATATATTTCTCTGACATTCTTCAATATTAATGACTTGGTCATGCATGCCCTGGCGCTGAAATCAACTGAAAAGTATAGGTTACAGCATACAGCATGTAGGATTTCCAGGGTTGGGGGGTTTGGTGGTTGGATGATAGGGCGTTGGGTGTTGGGCGGTGACCGTGCCGGGGCGAGTGGGAAGTGTGCGAAATGATTGGATGGGTGGGTGGGTAATGCCCCATAATTCCGTTCGTTTCCGTTTGATTCCGTTGCAGGACATTAGCGGGGGCTCAACAGCGCATTTTGCTTATTAGAATCCGTGCGTGTGTGTTTGTATCTGAGTAGTGTTTTCTGTTTGTGTGTGTGTGTGTGTGTGATGCCGCTGGAGTGTAATAAATTCTCGTACTTCCCCCACACTCTGACGCCGCAGGCTCTGTCTCTCCGGCAATTTCAAAGTTTATCACCAAAGCGCGTCTGCAACTTATGTCGTCTGCTTCTTCTTCTGCTACATTCTGCTTCTGCTCCAGCTTCTGCTCCTGCTTCTGCTGCTACTTCGCCCCGTTTTCCCGTTTGTCTGCACGTCGGTTGTGGTTATGTGAAATCACATCGTAAAAATGTCGAAGTCCAAATACTGCTGCCTCTACGGACGGACACTTGTGTGTGTTTGCGTGTGTGTGTATGTGGGCAAAGGCAAAGCTTATAAGTCCTTCCTGTCTCACCTGACTTAGGTGTCGCGGGCGGGCAACCCTTTCGCCTTTCAATTTATAGATGTTGCCCATATAAATATTTATTTCTATGTGCAGCATGTACTGCCCCACACCCCGCTCGACACCACACGCCGTGGCATCATTATTGTTTTTATGTGAGCGTCTTAAAAGCATTCCGCCGATCAATAAACCTTCGCTGCGTCTCGCGGGCGTCTGTCTCCGGTTGCATCCTTTCCAATAAGCGAAAGTGCTTCTCCCACCAAATATTCTTCTCTCCCACATAGCACAATTAAAGGTCAGCCCCGCCTGATGGGGGGCTGAAGAGGAAGGGCAGCAGGCAGTCCTAACTGTGCCACGCCAGAAAGGACGCAACACGGTCGCGCACTTTCCTTATTTGGCCATGGAACAATGCAAATATTTTGCATTTAGCTGCCAGCGGAGGCATTTGGCATTTTTAATTAGGCCAAAGCGGGTGCGCGGTGAACACTGAGGAGCCCTATCAGCGCCACTTGAATAATTCTGAGTATGTGAGCGCAATGAACATAACATATGTATAGGATCGATTGAAGATCCTCGTTGGGAAGGGATTAAGAAGCAGCTATTTAAGAAGCAGCAAATTTAAGTAAATGTGATTTTTAAGAATTGGAATTTTTTTAATGTTTTTTAGATACACAAATAAAGTATGAAAATACAAGAAATGATTTTTTTTCTACTTTTCCCTAGTAGTAGTAGTAGTAGTTGGGGTACAAATAAGGAAAAAATACCGTAGAAAAAATATAAATTTTGTATGCGAAAGCCAAATTCTTCCCAGACGGTAAGCTGAACCTACAATGAGCTTAGGTCCGATTTATAGGTTATTTTAAAATTCAATAAAACCAAATGTTAAATACTTAAGCTATGTGGAAAAAAACACTAGCTCAAAAAGAAAACATTAAAAGTTATTATTCTTTTCATTTAAAAAAAATTTTGACAGAATAAAGAACTTTCTCAAAGTAAATTGGACTTTTTTTATTTTTCAACTGAGTTTTTTTTTAGTTTTACTACATACTTCGTATTTTAAGAGTTTAATTGAATAAGATAATTTTTGAGGGTGTAGTCCTTTTACTGCTTCATTTGGATGGTTATATCTAATTGATCTAATGGTTAACTTGATCCCCAGTTGTTGGGATGTGGTGCATTAAGGAAGTAACTTTTTATAAACCCAATCAAATTTTCTCATATTAAGGAAACTCACTACTAACTGTTGGCAAATGAAATATCTTAGGCCATCTTTGTTTCTATTCAAAATATTTTCCACCAAAAGTCTCCCTTTTCCCGGCATGTCCTACTGTGCCGTCGGCTTCAGCGGATTTCTCTGGATGCCTGATCATTTCGTTCATTAAGTTGCAAGCGCCGATAGGTGCAACTGCACACTGGAAAATATATACATACATATATATTGCTACATCTATACGGTGCAGATACAAGCCCAATTACAAATACCACGATCTGAGCTGTTTGAAGCAGTTTGCCCAATCCTTAAATCGACATCTACATCTGCAGCGTGAAGCTAAAGCAGCAACAGCCTACAAAGTGCACGAAATTGAGCAGAATTTTGAATTAATAACATTTCCGGTATTATAATGTGGACAATATATCACGAGCGTTATCGTCTTGAAGGGCGAGTGGCAGCACAGTTGGAATGGATTTGTTGCTGCTGCTGCTGTGGCTTGTGGCATGCAAAACGTAACGGTAAATTGGTTAACAATTACACAAATCTCATAATGAAGTTTAAGGCCCCCCGTCCTTCCTTGGCGTGCTTTGTGCTACCATTACCATGGCGTCGTCATGGCCCGGAACATCGCCATTGCCTGCGGTCAGCAAAATTTCCATCGTCATAGCTCTCTCTCCCTGTCCCGTTCCCGTTTTCGTTCTCTCTCTCCTTATATAGCTGTCTCTCTCGTTGCTTGCGTCCTGCAAATTGATTAGTTATTGTTGTTGCTGCTGTTGGGGTTTGTGGTGGGGGTGGTGCTGGTGCTGGTGTTGGTGATGTCGCTGGTGTGGGTCGGTCGCCTCTTAGCTACAGCTGCACTTACCGCCAGCCAATTTGCAGCTTTGTTCTCGAGTGTAACTCTTAACAGGTGTTGATGTTTGCTAAGTAGCTCCTACATCCCGACCCCGCCCAGCCCGGCACGGCCCGGTCCGGTCCGTCCTGCCTGGCCCTCCACTGAATACTCGTGCCAGGCAGGACCCTGGCTCCTTCTTCATGGCTAGTTGCACATTGCTTTGATTATTTTCTATTTTCTACAAATTGTATGCAAATAGTTGAGGTTTACCTTTATCCAGATCCCGTGCTGGGGTCGATCCGGGGCAGACCGACCGCACCCGGAAGCGCCTGGGGCTGGAAGCAGGCAGACCTGAAACCAGAGACAGTTAATATTTTCCAACAACAGCCGCAGTATTGACTTTTCCACCTGGGCCAAATGAAGCAAGCACTCAAATGCTGTTTGCCCTTACACCTCCGACCTAGGACCCCACAAAAAAGGTCTTTTGTCTTGTGGTCTCTGACAATCTTCCGGATGAAGGCCAACCTTGGTATAGGGGCGGACAGTCTGGCCAATTAAGTTTTCTAAAACATATTTATTCCGGGCTAAAAATACTTCTACGATTGAATGGAACATACAACTAGTTTCATTGGTATTTGAAATAGCAAACAATGATGTATTCCCGAAGTAATTGTTGGTTGTCGGTGGCATCCATTTCATCTACGACTACCTTCAATTAATGCTTAGATATTGCTTAAATTTTAAAACTAAGACTTAACCCTAGATTGTGTCATATATTATTTCCATTAGCCTTCGTCGTTTTGAACAAATGTTTCATACAGCTCCAGCCGTTGCTGAGCTGCTGCAGTCTGCAGACTAACAAGTCCTTGGATCCCATGTAACTACTGTTTTTAACACTTACTCAAAGCTTGAGCGAGAAGAGTTACTTGGCCAGCTAAAGTTGTAGAAAACATTTCAAGTTTATAACTGAAATGAAAATTAAGAAGAACACACAAATCTAGATTTGCGCTAGTTCTCATCACCAAGTATATCTCTTCGACTCTTGTATAAAGAAAGCGAACTTCGAAATGTATCCCTAATTCGAATCATATACTAGTATTTAAAAAATGTGATGACTTTAACGTACTAAAAATAGGCATGACCATCTAGGCTTAAATTTGTATGCCATTATATGTATTTGCACCGAGAGTGGAAACATTTGAATGGAAGTGTTTCCACTTACAGTTCGGCATTAATATGAAAATAATTCGTACAAATTTATGTAATATTTACTTGCAAGTGGTTTATATTTATTATTCGGAGCAGCCAGTAATTATTGGCCAATCCAGGCGCATATTGTCTGTTGCTGCTCAAAATTCGTATGTTTATTATCATTTTGTTAGTTCCATCGTGTTTACTATTTGCACTGCTTGACCTGCTTGCCTGCTAAGCATTCTTTCTTACCTCGCTCATCTTTATCTAAGTTATCTGTTGTGACTTGTCTACGCCGAGCAGTCAGATCGGAAATGCATTCATGTGAAGGGCAAGCAAGACTTACTTGCATTTTCGATATCAATCGTAATTTCATTTATAGAAATACTTTTTCATATGTTTACATATGGTTAATCAAAGTGACTGCCTTGTAATTTTACTATGTTTCCCTATATTTAAAGCCCGAATATTTCACTGAAATTTGTTGTATGTTTTTTATGTAACTTAGTTTCGTTGTGGTAGACTTTGTCTCTTACTATTTCCCTCTACTCATCTGTATACAGTTTTCTCGAACTATTCACAGATATAGCAATATATAATATGCCCAAATGTGTATAAGTAGTGGCCGTATACAGAATTTTCATTGTTTTGGCCCTAAAAAAGAAGTGCACGAAACTTGTAAATTTCAATTTCCTTTTTAATGGAAATCTGGGAGATTGCGACCCAAAATGCCTCAAGGGGAGCAGAGAGGTTCAATTTGAAGTGCAATTTGGATAATTGCTTTACAGCCACACACAGGTGTATCCTGGCACAAACACACACACCCACACCCACACCCACACACATAGAATTACACAACACGTGCGTGTGTTTGTGTATCCGGGTTGGCAGTTGTTGGCAAGTGCTGGGCTGGCTATAATTTCATGAGCATTTGCCGTTTTGCCTTTAAATACTTGACAGTTTTATGAACTTAATAAGGCAATAAGCCAAACATTTTCTCAAGCTAAGCAAATGTGGCATGCCAACATATTTTCCAGTATATTTGCTTAGGATGGGTGTGACGGTGTGCGCCTGTCAACCCCTTTTTCGGTGGGCCTCATTAGACGCCGACACATTGGCATTGACTCTGGGCCGCTCGGAATAAAACTCGGCTTTTTATGCGAGCTCGTAAACAGAATCGAATTGCTGCCAGCGCACCCCGAATGAGCTCCACTCTAGGAGTGGGAGTCCCCCTCTAATAGTGAGAGAGCTGAAGTGTTGGCCCTTTGTGGGACCCAGTGGCTGACACCCGTGCTGGAGTTCAAGCCGAACCCTTCTTCTGGTGGCAGCCTCTGTTCCTTTTCCGGTCAGCAGTCAGTGCGATTCGGGCTTATTGTTGTAAGCCCTATTGTTGCAAATTTTCTTTTATGCGTTCTGAGCGGGGTCATAAAAACGGCATCGCATCGACCGGAAATTACAAATGTCCATATAATGTCCATACAAGTGCAGATTAGTGGTTGTCATGTGGGTCGTTAGGTGGCCAGCCCAGAGGGTGGCGAGAGGGCGAAGTATGGGTCTTCGAATATTTAAAGGTTGCCCGTCGGATCGTTGTTTGCTATTTGCTTTAAACAAACACAACGTATCTGAACGCCGGAAGTCATTTGCATGTGCGGAAGGGGAGTATTCGTATCGTGTGGGCTGCTGGCTGTTGGTGTCTGCCTGCTTAGATGGATTGGCCGATTTGTGGTCCTGCTGCTGCTGCTGCTGCAAATGCATTAAATGCAAGCTCAAACAGAGGAGAGCCCGTGGCAGTCCTGCCTGCAGGACTGTGGCCACCCTGGATGTGCGTCCAGTTGGGCCTCGCACAACCAGCCACGCCTACTTGCTGCTGCGGCTGCTGCTGTTTTGGCATTTGTGTTAATTTCATGCCAAGTACCGACACACATACAGCACACACACACCCGCCCAGACATATTGCATAACATTGCGGTCTCTGGTCGCATCGGTGTGCGTGTGTCTGCATCTCTGAATTATGTTTTTGATTTTAGTTGACAATGAGCGCGCACAAATTTATTGTCGACAACTGCAAAATCGAAGCGCTGACAACAGCAACAGCAACAGCAACAGAAGATGCCACTGCAACGTGGGCGTTTTGCACAGTGCCAACTGCGACAAGGCGTGGCCCTGACAGCTACATAAGCACTGGGCTACCGACAAGCCAACGCCTAAGCGCATGCAATGCTCCTACGCACTCCGCTCGGACCCAGAGAGCGGTGCGAACAGTGGCGAGGAGTGAGTAGGCTGCTGTTGCCCTTCGGACGGTTACTTGTGATTAAAGTTTAGAGTTGATTCTCATATAAAAGACTTATTTGTATTTATAATACAAAGCTAAGGTGTCGATCTGATCCAGATTCGGTAATCTGGCAGATATGGTCATTTGCTATAGCCACTTGTTACAGTGTGATATCACAGGAGTGTGAATACAAAATGTCGTTTCTCTAACTCTTATAGTCTCTGATATCTAGGCGTCAAACAAGACGGACGGGCGACAGATATGACTCTATCGACTTGGCTATTGACTCTTATGAAGAATATACATATATACTTTATGGGGTCGGAACCGCTTGCTTCTGGGCATTACACAAATCTAATATACTCCTATACTCCTTTAAGTACCGGGTATAAAAATACCAGGAGGCACTGGATATTATATACAAGTTATTTAAGAAATAGCAGACGAATAACAGATAGCCAAGAGCTTAAACCATCCACACATGGAACATCCAGGTATTCTCGAGGTTGTAGAACACTCGAAGTGCTTCTATCTATCGATCAAAAAATACCAACCCAAAACAACTGACTTTAATGAAAACTGTTTTTATCATGATATCCCACTAACAGCAGGCTCTCAAGCATTAACAACATCATTTCGGTATTTTGCAGCATTTCAATTTGAGTTTGGCAAACATTTTATAGCTCTTCCTGGACGGAAGACGCAACTTTTACATGTCTACAAAATTAGTAACTGGCCCATTACGCGACTTTATGTGTCGCTCTGTACCTCTCTGCCCCCCTACACTTCTCGCTTTCTCTATTTGTGTGTGTGTGTGTGTGTGTGTGTGTGTGTGTGTAACATCATAAACTTGCGGCTGGGCTGCCAGGCTCTGAAGCAACCCAGACTTGGTCCGCACTTTCCTGTCCACGTCGTAATCACTGGGCGACAGCGCAGTGGATGCAGCCTCCATTCGGTTCCGTTCGGTACGGTACGGTTGAGGCTGTAGCTGTGGCAGTATTTTTGGCATGCAGTCAAGATGTGGGATGTGGACACACTCCCGGAGACATAGCTAGAGAAGGGATGCGGCCATAAACGTGTTTTTACAACTGTCAAGCCGTTGGGGAGAGAATTGGGGATGGAAGTGCCCAAGCAGGGGACATGAGGACATCACTAGGACCTCGCTAGATGGGCAGCATGTTGTTTGCATCGGAGCCATGCAGTCGATATTTGCACGGCCACGGATGTCTGACAGTCCTCCGACTCCGACTCCGACTACGACTGAAACTCGGACTCATGTCCTGCTCGCTCTGCCTGCTGCTAAGCGCCAGGGATTGGCTGCCAGGCAACTGAGTGGTTGAACGAGGGGGAAGGGGGTGCTAAGTTGGCTTGCAGGTGTGATTTTATGCAATTTGCTTTCATATTAAATGAGTGCCCTGCTCTGGCCCGAACGCCTGTAAAGAACTTTCATTCATTGCTTCGAACCGAATCTCTGGGCTGTCGGCTGGCGTCTGTCGGCTGTCGGAGAAGACCCCTATGGATGGCTCTGCTCTGCTTGCCTCTTCTGTGGCTCTGCGGCCACTCTTGCTGCTGCTGGCAAAGTAACTGTGCAAACGTTGCAGCTGCAAATCCGCAATCAGACAAAGCAAATAATTTTGCAAAAATAAATATGAGGGATTATTGTGCTGGCTGCCAGGCGGGCCACAGCGAAGCGGCTGGAAAGTATGCTATAATAAAATGCAGCTAAGTCGATGGGTATGTACGGCAGCGGCGGCAGCGACAGCAAGAGCGAGGACGATATTAAATTTCAAGTGCATGTGCTAAGCCCCGCTACCGAGTGAAGGCCCCACTATTCCGTCTGTGCCATTGAAAACGCTGTCCTTGCTGCATCAGCAGCTTCTCTAGTTCACCTTGCCTCATCTGGCGGCTGCCCCTGCCTCAGCGCGCTCCTCAATATACACGACATTCATTTGAATGCATTTGCCACTTGAGAGATTAGCCTGAAACCGTCTCTCAAGCCTCGCTCCCCCCTCCGCCATTGTTGGAATTTTAAAATTTACTTTTGTCATTGCTCTTATTTATTCTCTTTTTTTCTATTTATGCTGTCTATTTGGTGGCTTTGAATCATGTACTACCCCCACCGCTG